GCCTGGGCTACAGGAGACCTGCCTCAGAACGAACCAAAAACTAAAAGGCCAGGAAGATGCTTGGTTGTGAAAGAGCAATGGCTGGCTGCTCTTGAATAGGACCTAGGTCAGTTCTCAGCACTTACAAGGCAGCCCAAAGCTATAAGTAACTCCAGTTTCAAGGAATCCGACGCCCTCTTCTGACCGTCAAAGGCACTGATTGCATGCACCTGGTGCACTTACAAGGCAAAGCCCTCCAACACATAAATCCTTTGCTTTTTTCTTCCATGTTTCTCATGGATCTGGCAGAAATACAGAACAAAAGTCCGGTCGGATAAAGGGCTATGGCTGGTGGAACTGCAGGTGAGTGAGAAAGGAGCATGCGCCCCTGAGCCTGGCAAGCCACAGAACATGCTGGGAACCAAGATACATTCAGTATCTCCCAGTGCAGAGCGCAGGCTTCTATAGCTCACCAGGCTCAGTCACTGCCTGGGGAGTGCTCACGTGGGACCTACTACCACACAGCAGGGCTTGTGAGAACACCAGCCCTGTTTCCACAATCTCCCAAGGCTTAACAGTTGGCTCAGATTTCAGATGAATTACTCTTGTTTGTTTAGGTGAACTTCATATGGTTTTTAAGTCCTGTGACTCTTTACATGGAAATACAAACCTAGTTAAAAGCTAGGTCCCTTCCTCTGCTTTAGGAAACAGTCCAGACGTCTGATAATAATGACCAGGGGACAACCAACTAATTACCAATGGCTGGGGGTGGCAGTGGGTACCGTCCAGAGCTGGTAATCATTTCAGTCCAGCAAGCTGGGTTTATAGTCCAGGCCAGTATCTCTTCTTAAACAGATGGCTTCGTCTTTCTCCTCTCTGGGAGGTTCTCCTGCCTCCACTTTCCAAGACATACCCAGCTTCCATTTTTGGACTAAATAAGGGCAATGGTTGCTTAACTATGTAGGAAATATTAAATATCATTAAATTGTACTATTAAATTTTGTTATTGGACTGAGTGAGATTAAGATGTTGTGACTTTTATAAAAACAAAATAACCACATACACATCAGTTGGGTGTGGTGTCTCAGTCCTGTAATTCCAGCACTTGGGAGACAAAGGGGCTAAACAGCTGGAACTGAGTTCAAAGCCCATCTGGTCTTCATAGTGAGAACCTGACTCAAAAAAAAAAAAAAGGGGGGGGGGGGGGGGGGGACAAAAAAACAACATTCTCTTCCTTTTTTCAAGACAGGGTCTTTGTGTATCCCTGGCTGTCCTAGAACTCTCTCTATAGACCAGACTGGCTTCAAACTCAAGAGATCCACCTGCCTCTGCCTCCAGAGTGCTGGGATTAAAGGCATGCGTCACCACTGCCCAGCCCTTCTTTTCAACAATATAGAAGTATTCTTCATAAATGACAGCTCCTCAAGTATTAAGACTCGGGATCCAGCTGCTGGGCTCTACCTTTAAAAGAATATAATGACAACAGATATTCAAACACATCTTTTAAAGAATTCAGGAAGCACACGAGGGCTTTCTGTGTTTTGTTTTTTCAATTATCTGGGAGAATAAAGTGCTTCGGGGCGCTCAGCAGGTGAAGATGCTTACTGCCGAGCCTCACGAGCTGAGTTCAATCCCCCATACCTACATGGTGGAAAGAGAACCAACTCCTGCAAGCTGGCCCTCTGGCTGGTAACAGAATTTAATCTTCATCTTGGTGTTGTGAAGGATCCCGTGAGAAGTAGTTATATGCACTCTCCACTCTAAGGAGAACAGCTGGCAGAGAGCCACCTCGGAGGAAGCCGCAAAGGCATCATTACTCCATTAGGGATAATAGCTATTGATCGGGCTCCTCGAAGAAATAGCAGAGAGGAAGAATTCTAAAATCCATTGATTCCACCACAAGATCTGTTTATGTAACTATGGCCGCCTTCAGCCACTGTGACTTCCCAGCTGAGAGTTCCTAACCCAGGAACTCCAAGGAATGGAGTAGTCCAGAACCTCCTCTCCCCAAGGATGCAAGTACCCGCGGCCTACTTAGTATATTAACTTCTCAAGAGGCTACTGAAAGCCAAAGACAGGGTAGCCCAGTAGTCTCCCCCTCGTCCAAAAGAATGTTTCAAGATCCATAGGATACCTGAAATTGCAGCTAATTCCAAATACTGCATCTCTCACACATACCTGTGGTGAATTTAATCTCTTAGACAGGCAGAGTAAGAGTAATAACTGATAATAAAACAGAACAATTATAACAACAGGCTGGAACAGAAATTGAAGACTTTATTACACTGTAATAATTTTGGCCTATGAGTAGTCAGAGGCAAATGGGAAAACAGCATCTGAAAAAGTGGCTAGGGGGACAGTGACACTACCTAACAAGCTGAACCCTGTAGGCACTCGGCTCAACTGCAAGATTACACGTTTATCTTAAATGATCTAACTCTGCTTTCCCAGTTCAGAATACTGCCCCATAACTATTCCTATCCTAGTCACCTACACACATGGCTATGCATGGATTCCAAACATGGCTCTCCCAGAATAATCTCCCTAGATGCAACTAAACCTTAATTTCTTTCACCATGGAAAGTTAAAGCTTACAGGAGAGCTCAACTGGGGCAGGAAGACTAAAAATCTCCCCAAATAATGACTGTTCCATCTTTCTGGTGGCGGGGGCTGAACCCAGAGAGTCACACATGAGACACGGTGGGTGAGCCAGCACCACACTGGGAACCAACTCTGCTCCTGTTTCAAATAAGCACTGTGTGGAAACTGGGGGTGAGAGGCAGGCTGATGTGGTTTGGAAAAGCGTTTTTACGAGACCTTTATTTTACAAATCAATTCTCCCTTTCACATATGGTAAGCTTGAGCAGACACGCGCGGAGCAGAGCACAACCTCCCCACATTTAGAAGGGAAACACTGTGTATCGGGTGCTCATTCCCTAACAGTCACTGTAGAGGGTCAGCCATCAGTTTTCCTGCCTCATTGAGATAACCCCAAATGCACACCCCACCTCTGCACTACGACCACAGGGGCATTTCTTATTTAGAAATTCCCTCACTTCTTCACTGCTGGGTTTTTAAAATAAGTGAGATGAATACTTAAAAATATATCAAAGTATCCTATAGTGCTTTGTGAGGGACGTTTACAGTGAATGGGCTTGTCTCCAGAAGTCACTGCCCTTGCGCGTGTCTACAGGGAAATCATTTTTTTTTTTTATTTTGGAGACCAAGGCCTATCTGGTAGAAGATGGCGTGTTCGATGCCACCTGGCTTGTCGGCTCATTTCTGCATCACCTTGGACAAATGCCATCTGAAAACTCCCTACCAGCCCTTAGGTGCATTGCAGCCTCTGTGTCATTGTGTGTGACATCACTGGGTTGCTATGGATATAGGTGCGAGGTCACTCGCTCTCCTGTGGAACTAGAAATAGGGGAGAATTAGAGTCTAAATATCACAATCTGAAGACATTTCCAACATTGGTGACCTACTCAAGACCAGCTTGTATCCTTTAGTCACTAAAGCCTTACAAAAAGGCAACTGGAACACACTACTACAACAGTATTTCTGATTTTAAAGTCAATTTTAAAAAATTGACAAAAAAAATGTAGCTCATTGAATTGGGGAAAGATAAGAACCTGGCATTTGAAAAAAAACTAGAAAAAAATCAGCTAAAAAAATACCATCTCTCCTTTTCCTTGAAAGGTTGAACATGCAAGGCACACTCTGGCATCCACTTCACACCAAGAGCTGCATTTAAAACCTTTGTTACATAAGGCAGGAAGTTAAATATTAAGGGAGTGGGAAACCCAATTATTCATTTTTCTACTTAATTTTGCAATATGCAGTACTGCTCCCTCCTCTGCTGGCAAACTGGACCCCAACTCATTAATAAATGAGTGTTACTGACAAAATTATGCAAATACGAAGGATTTTGCATCTAAGACAAAAATGCGACAACTGGAGACGGAGACCAGTATTCTCTTTAGTGTAAGGATGCATTAGGTCAGAGGAAAAAAGCCTTAGATACGTTTAACTTAAAAAAATTTAAAAGACTTTTTCCCCTTTAAAATAACTCCTCCCAGCCTCCACCCAGTCTAGGCTCTCTGCAATATGACAAATGCAGAATCTTCTGGAATGACTTGATACTGCCTCCCACCAGCGCTTTGTTTGCAATATCAGATCAGACAGAATTTTTTTTTACACTTATGGGAATTTCGGGAGACTCGTGCCTACATTCAAAAGAGAAACTGCATATGTTACAAATTGAATCAGTTAACATTCAAAGGCATATTTAACCCTTTTCAATGAAAAATGAAGATGGCATATTGAGGGCCATGAACGGAAATGCCAGCGACACACTTATCCCTCCCTCTGTAAAAACCAGAGGACTTGCTCTGGGGAATGGGTAAAGGGAAACCTTTTGTTAAGAAAACGTGAGCAAGGTGGTTTCGATTTTACACCATTAAGCTCGGGTTTTTTGGGGGGAGGGGGAATCTACATTTTTTCTTCCCGAAATGTTCTTTAAAGGTTGTGTCAGTGGGGAAGATGACGGGGGGGGGGGTGTTGGGAGTGGGGAGGCGGAAAACTGGGAGACCTGCTGAGTGAATGGGAAAGGCGCCGCCCAGACACCAGGGAGAGAAAAGAGGAACCGCATCCATGCGGTCCCCCCGCCCCCACGCCTGAGCTGGGAGGAGGGGAAGTGGGGCACAAAGGATGCGCACGGCCCCCAACTCAGATCCCTGGACATTCAGGGTCACATAGAGACCACCCCCCACCCCCCGAGCAGAGACCAGCCACACAAGACCCCGCCCCAGCCCCGAGCTCGGAGAGGCTGGGAAAGAGGCCGCGTCACCACTCGGGTTGCCGGAGTCGCTCATTATCCCTAATCCCCTCCAAAGAGTGAGGTGGAGAGGTGACCCCACAGTCACGACAAGGCGACTTGCCCCTGGGCATGCCTTCCACGCCGAGGATCGTGGTGTCGGGAGCGCTAGGGCGAGGCAGGGGGGAGGGGAGGAGACACTCACGTTCTTCATGGCCGCAGCCATATCGTCGTAGCGCTCCGCCTGCTCGGCCAGCCGGGCTTTCTGCACCAGTTGCTCGCGGTCCACCATCTTCGCTGGGCTGAAGCGGGTCGGCTGGAAAGAAGGAAATCGAAGACCGCCTTGAAGGGCTTTAGGGAAAGAGAGAGGCGGCTTGGAGCTCGTGTGTCGGAGGGCCGACCCACGAAGCAAGCTGCTCAGGCGAAGACTCGCAGGAGGCGGCACGAGATGCGACCGCGGGACCCGGCGCAAGGAGGCTGCGGCTCCAAAGCGTGCCGCGGGCGGACAACCCCCTGCGGTCCCGCCCACACAAGTGACGTAAAAGTCACCTCCCACTCGCGCATGCGCGCGCCCCGCCCGGCCCCGCCCGACCCTTTCTTTACTGGGTTTCTCCCCTATTGGAACACTCCTGTGATTCCTAGCGGTTTTCTCAGCGTCTCCCCAATTCTCTACTGATCTCTGCTGTACACCTTTCTTCACCCCAATCCTTCGCCTCAGTTTCCTCAAGTCGTTCCTCGCCCTCTGAGCGCCCCCACAGTTCGCCTAGCTTCTGGCGCGTGGACTCTTGGGAGTAGTAGTTCGACCCGCAGCGAACTGACCGGCAGAGGAGACTAAGGACAAAGGGGCGGTGGAGACTACATCTCCCAGCGGGCATAGCGCAGTCAGAGGCCGACCAGGTGGGGGTAGGGTCTAAGCCCGCAGTCGCTGGGGACCCCTGGCGGGGATGCAGCCTGCACTAGTCCAAACGAGTGCTGATTCACGGCCCCGCCCCATGGCTTCTGGGCAGTTGAGAGGAGAGAAGGCCACAGCCTCACTTGTGAACTCTGTGAAACAGATCGTGGCCGGAAGATCAAGGAAGAACACAGGTATAGAGTAGGCAAGATAGGGGCAGACACGGTAAATCCAAACTGCCCGATCAGCATCATTGAAAGGGTTAGCCTGCCCGAGAGATGGCTGCATAAATGGTGCAACCCTCAGAGGACTGTCTCATACACACACACACACACACACACACCAAGGTTGCACTTTGACATGAGACTTCACTGGGTGAAGTCATGGAATGACACATATCCGCCTTGCACATCCATTAACTTCCCTCAGTGATGTAGCTGTGTGCAGGCTGACCCTGGGGAACACCCTTCTTCCTCTCCAGTGGAGAGTACTGAAGATTCAATTCAGCTGCCTAAACTCACCGCCAACACCCCCACCTATAGTTTTACTGCGTATCTTATTTTCGTTAGGTTTTTGTGGATTGTTTCGTTTGAAACAGAGTCCCATTACTCTTCAGGTGGCCTCTAACTCCTTATATAACTAAAGCTGGCCTTGAATTCCTTCCTTCACAGAAAATTCTTGAATTACAGGCAAGTACCAACACATTGGCGTTGACTGCATATTTTATTTGCTTCATCTCTTCAACATGCTGAGCACCTACCCTGTTCCAGTCATTATGTACAGAAGGGCCCAGCAATGAACAAAATAGACAAGTGGGCCTGCCCAAGAAAAGGAGACAGGCTGTGCTACATGGTGCACGCCTTTAGTCCCAGCACTGTGGAGGCAGAGGCAGGCAGATCTACCTGAGTTCAAGGCCAACCTGGTCTACAAAGCAAGTCACAGGACAGCCTGGACTACACAGACTACAGGACTACAGGACCGTCTCGAAACCTCACCCCTACCAAAAAAAAAAAAAAAAAAAAAGGAAGAAGAAAAAAGAAGGAAAGACAACAGGAGACAAACAAACTTGGTAGTAATCATCTTGATTTCAACATCAGGGAGGCAGAAGTAGGCAGATTTTGTGAGTTCCAAAGGCATGCCACCATTGTCTTTAATATCAGCACTCAGGAGACAGAAACAGGTAGTTCTAGCCCAGCCTGGTCTCCAGAGCAAGTTGCAGGACAGCCAGGGCTACACAGATTCTACAAGGGGATCAGCAACATTTCCAGCTGAGGCTCCTGCAAGACTGAAGGAAACTGAGACAGATGTAAAGTGCTTGTCTTGTAAACGTGAGGTCTGGAGCTTGAACCCCAGCACCTACAAACAACAACAACAAAAAAGCTGGGTGTGGTGCCACAGATTTGTAATCCCAGCACTGCAAAACAGATTCATGGGGTTCCTTGGCCAGCAAGGTTAATTTACTTAGCAAATTCCAAGATTTAATCCCAGCACTCCGGAAGCAGAGGCAGGCAGATCTGGCTCTGATCTGGCTCCAGGACAGGCTCCAAAGCTACAGAGAAACCCTGTCTCCAAAAACCAAATAAAGAGTAGATAGATAGATAGATAGATAGATAGATAGATAGATAGATAGATAGATAAAGGTGTGCACCACCACCGCCTGGCTATCTGGCTATAGTCTTTTTTTCTTTTGTAGACTGGGAATTAAATATGTTAAATATCACTCTGGACCTGGATTATATCTCTAGTCTCTTCCTTTTTTTCTCTCTCTCTTTTCTTCTTTTTTTCCTTTTATATTGAGACAGGGTTTCTCTGTGTAGTCCTGGCTGTCCTGTAACCTCCTTTGTAGACCAGGCTAGCCTCAAACTCAGGTAGATCATCCTGCCTCTGCCTCCCTAGTGCTGCAATCAAAGGTATGTGCTGTCACACCTAGTTGGGACATATTTATTAATGGGCTGTCTGGCTGTCTCATAAAATTCTAATGGGGTTATTAATCTCTAAGAGGCATTGAGTGATAGGTTAAGTAGTTCAGGAGTTGGGAGATGGCGTCAGGCAAGACTGCTTTAATTTTTTAGTTTTAAATGAGACTACAACCCAGAGTCTTGTAGGAATTTTCCCCATCTGAATCCTATTCCCTAGCCTGGGAATTGTTTTTAACCTAGCCCCTCCCCTGCCCAGGAATCATGGCATTTTTCAAATAATAAACGAAACCTCTATATTGTTTTTTGATCAATTTTTTTTTTTGATTTCGAGACAGGGTTTCTCTGTAGCTTTTGGTTCCTGTCCTAGAACTAGCTCTTGTAGACCAGGCTGGCCTCGAACTCACAGAGATCCGCCTGCCTCTGCCTCCCGAGTGCTGGGATTAAAGGCGTGCGCCACCACCGCCCAGCAAAACAAAAATTTTTTTAAAGTACAAGTCTGGGTGATGGTGGTACACATCTTTAATCCCAGCACTCAGGAGGAAGAGGCAGGCGGGTCTCTGAGTTTGAAGCCAGCCTGGTCTCCTGAGAGAGTTCCAGGACAGTCAAGGCTGCACAGAGAGACCTTGTCTTGGGAAAGAAACAAGAAAGACGAGCTGTGAGTGGTGGCACCTGTTTTTAATGCCAACTTGTACAGGAGGCGGGATCGCTGTGAATTTAAGACCAGCCAAGGCTACAACCTGAAAACCAGTGTAAACAAAACAAACAAAACACATAGATGAGAAGGGTCTTAGACTCCTGATCCTCCTGCCTCCCCCTCCCAAGTGCAAGGATTGCAGATGTGAGCCACCACGTCTGATTTATGCAGAGCTAGGGCTTAAAGCCAGGGTCTCATGCATGCTATGCAAACACAAACACTCTGCTACTGAGCTATGTTCCACTGAGCTATGCCCCCAGCCCTGTCCCTGTTTTTCAGGCACAAAGAGGCTTCCTGATAAACCAGAGTTCACACAGGCATTGACTAGCTTGAGTATGAAATGAAACTCAGGCAGGCTTTCTGGGTTCTCAGCAGCAGAGTCACCCACTCCAGGTCCAGCTGTGAGGCCTGATCTATCTTGGCACCTGCTCAGAAAAAGAGGGAGGGGCCTCGGCTGTGTGGACTGATGTGATGCAAGAGCACCCTCCATCCTTCTCCTGCGCTGAAGGGCATGACCTTCTAACTGCATCTTCTTTGGCTCCGTTGGCAGACAAACGGGCCAGCCATGGAAATCAGTGCCCTGCAGTTTCTATGTGGCCCTAAATCATCACAGCCCTGTACCCTGACTGCTGGCTTCCTTGGGAAGTTGAAGACCTCCCCCGATTAGGTGACTGTGGCAGCAGCAACCACACCCTACCAACAATGTACCCATCCTGTGCTCTGGGACTGCTTTCACCCTCACTTTCTTAGCTTGGGCAATTTGCAGTAGGGGCAGAAAACACCACGGTTCAGATGAAGGGAGAATCTCAGTAGGCAGACTCTGTCTGAATATTATTTTAACTAGGCAAAGGTGCGTTACATTTGTTTCTGCTGTGGAATGTTACTTTAACTGTGGAAAGGTGTGTTACATTGTTTCTGCTGCATTTGTTTAAGTATGTACGTATGGATGAGTGTCTAATAATGTAACAATATGTTGCATCTGTTTCACTTTGCCTGCCTGAGGCACCTGATTGGTTTAATAAAGAGTTGCATGGCCAATAGCTAGGCAGAAAAAAAAGGATAGGTGGGGCTGGCAGGGAGAGAGAATATAGGAGAAGTCTAGGGTCAAGATAAAAGAAAAAGAGGAGAAAAAGAAGAGAGAGCCGAGTGGTGGTGGCTCACACCTTTAATCCCAGCACTTGGGAAGCAGAGGCAGCGGGTTCTCTTTGAGTTTGAGGCCAGCCTGGTCTACAGAGCAAGTTTCAGGACAGCTAGTGCTGTTACACAGAGAAACCCTATCTTGAAAAACAAAACAGAAAAGAAAAGAAAAGAAAAGAAAAGAAAAGAAAAGAAAAGAAAAGAAAAACACAAGAAGTAGAGAGGAAAGAACAAGAACAAAGAACACACCCAGGGCAGGAAGCTAGGCAGCCCCAGCCAGCCAGACTTAGAGACAATAAGAAAGTAAGAAAAGGTAAAAAGCCCTAGGCAAAAAGTAGACAAAGAGAATCAGGTTAAATTAAAAGAGCTAACCAGAAATATGCCTAAATTAGGCAGAGCATTCAAAACTAATACTAAATCTTTGTGTCATGATTTGGGAGCTGGGTGGTGGCCGCAAAGGAAAAGCCTGGTACAAGCCTCTCCCAGAGGTCCTAGATCAGCAGAAAAGGCCTATGCTGAGAAGCAGGACTCAGATATTAAGACCCTGACTTTGCCATGGGACTTGCAGGGTGACCTTGGGCAAGTACATTCTCTCCCTGGGTCTCAGACTGTGAAATTATATATATATTTAAAAAAAGTATATAATTATTTTGTATTCAAGTGTGTGTCTGTATATCTGTGTTCTGTGTGTGTGCAGGTTCACGTGTATAGGCCAGAGGACAACCTTGGGTGTCATCCTCAAGAATACCATTCGCTGCCAGGCGGTGGTGGCGCACGCCTTTAATCCCAGCAAACCACAGAGAAACCCTGTCTCAAAAAACCAAAAAAAAAAAAAAAAAAAAAAAAAAAAAAAAAAAAAAGGGGGAAGAATACCATTCGCCTTCTTTAAAACAGTCTTGCAGATAAGGCTAAACTGGCTGGGTGACAAGCTCCAGGGATCCACCTGTGTCCACCTCCCCAGTGCTGGGATAGCAAGCACACACTATGTCACATAGCAATTTTACAAGGGTGCTGGGGATTGAACTGGTGTCCTCATGCTTGCAAGGCAAGCCCTTCACCCAGTGAGCTGTCTTCCCAAACCAGGGAGTGATTCTTAGGATATTACATTATAGTGGGGCTTGGCTATGCATGCCTTTAACCCCAGCACTCAGGATGCCAGCCTGGTTTACATAGGGAGTTCCAAGCCAGC